AGCAGGCTTTTCCCTGTTAGGCCCTCTCTGCGTGGGCTTTCCCTCCTTGGCGGTAGGAAACACCACGAGCAAAGGCACTAGAGTGAGCGTGAGCTTGTGCGCGTGAGCAAGCTGGGGCGGCAAGCAGACAGCAGGGCTGGCCTGAGGTGCGGCGGCTCGGGGGCCAGGCAGCTGGCGGGAGGCTGGGCCCAGCGCGTGTTCTGCGTGGAGCTGGTGGTCAGAGCAGCCGATTGCAGGGTGCATCCGTGATAAGGACTGGAGATAGGGATGCCACTTAGAGGGTAATGGTGGAGGAGAATCAGTAAGTTTAGCATACACACTTTTTTAAACACAAGTTTCACAGACCTGGCTTTGCAACACAACATGCTGGCCCTGCTGAGTCAGGCTGGTCACCTGTGATTGCAGAGCACCAAGGCTTAAGTCCCCATCCTCATGACCAGAAGCACTGCCGTCAAAGCAGAGAGAGCTAAAGGCAGGTTTTAAAGCGTTCAGAGGAGGCTCCCTCATCAGCCACCTGATGTTCCTCAGCACCATGGATAACTCATCCTCACCACCTCATCCACGCCAGCACCTCACGCATAGCGCACCTCACGCATAGCGTATTCAGAAGGCCTGTGGTCACAGGCCTCATCTCCATCGCCTTTCCCCTTTCCCATGGCACCCCCAAACAAGACACACATCCCTCAGGGCCTGGGGTGGGGGCTCAGGAAAGAGGAAAAGGCCCAGGCACCAACCCCACCTGCGTCTCCGCTCCCTGTCACCAGCCTTCAGTATGACAGGCTCTCTCAAGGCAGGCACCGTAGGGACACATGAGAAGAATGTGAGAACACATTCTTCTCACATTCTTCTCTTGTGTCCCCATGGTGCCAAGGACAAGCCACCAGTTTTAGTGAGCATTGATAGATTCAAACAAGCATTGTCTCCTTCAGAAGAGTTACATCTAGGGTTGTTTTTTTTTTTAAAAAAAAGTCACATAAAAGATGAGAGGATGAACAAACTGCGGTCTCTCAACACAATGGAATTCTACTCAGCCTTAAAACAGTGAAGTTTTTTCAGGAACATATCAAGAACAGGAATCTGTATTGAAAGGAATCTCTCCTAGTTTTTTTAGGAATCTCCACATTGATTTCCACACTGCTTGTGCCAGTCCATATTCCCGCCAGCATGGAGAAGGGTTCCTTTCTCCCCATAGCCCCCCAGCATTTGTTATTGATTGATTTCTTGATAATAGCCATTCTTTCTGGGCTGATATGGAATCTTAATATTGTTTTAATTTGTATTTCTTGAACGGTTAATGACATTTAACATTCTTCATATATTTATTTGCTGTTTCTACTTCTTCATCTGAGAAGTGTCTATTCATTTCAGTTGCTCATTTCTGGATTGGGTCTTTAAACTTGGGGAATCAGACATTTTTGAGTTCTTTATATGTCCTCAATATTAGTCCACTGTCTGAGGAACAGTTGGCAAAATTTTTCTCACACCGTAGGCTGGCTCTTCACTATGTTGCTTCTTTCTCCTGCTGCACAACAGCTTTTTAATTAGGATGAGGTCTCAGTTGCTGATTCTTTGTGATTATTGGGGTTTTATCCAGAAAGTCTGCCTACATCGGTGTCTTCAAGAGGCATACTGATTCTATCTTCCAGCAGATTTAGTGATTCTGTCTTAATATTTATAGTTTTGATCCTTTTTGATTTTAGTTTAGTGTACTGTGAAAGATATGGCTGTACACTCCTGAAAGAATTAAAAGCATCATACCCCAGGGATACACATGCATCTAATGTTTACAGTGGTGCAGTTTGTAATAGCTAAATCTTGGAAACAGCCCAAGTGCCCATCAGCTGAGGAATGGATAAAGAAGATGTGTGTGTGCATGTGTGTAACAATGGAGTACTACTCAGCCATGAAGAAAGATAAACTTGAAACATTTGAGGTAAACTGACATGCTTTGAGATCATATTCTTAAGTGAATGAAATGGGACACACACGTGTAATTATCACATCATTTCTCAGGTGTGAGAAACTGAAAGTATAAATAAGGACCACAATGTATAACAGATACTGTGAAATAGGAAGAAAACCTTCAAATGGAAAGGGGAACTAGGCAGGGGGAGGGGAAAAGGTAGGAAGGGAAAAGAAAAAAATTGAGTGAAGGAAAATGGAAATAACGTTTTTGTAAATAAGTAGGGAAGAAGGGTTGCAGGGAAAGTAGGGGGATGAGAAAAAGGAAGTATCAAGATATAGCATGTGCAGATACAAGTTCCCTATGAGAATAGGATTATACCTACAATGTACTGATAAACTAATTAATTAAAAAAGAATGGTAAGAAAAAGTGAAGTTCTTACACAGCTACAGGGTGACTGAACCTTGTGGATATGGTAATGAAAGAGAAATTCTGACCCAAAAGTCCCCAAAGATAAGATTCCCAAAGTAGTCAGAGCTACAGGTCAGCAAACAGAATGTTGGTGCAAACAGGGCTGGGGTGGGGGACAGGGGCTGTTCAAAAGAAAAGGTCAGAGGTGGATGGAGTGATGGCCACAAGACATGCGAAAGCACTTGCGTGATTCCCTTCACGCTATGCAGGCTTTGTCACAGCTTTTCTCCCCCCTTCATCGTGTCAAGGATCCTTCAGGTGGAGACTCAAGACTACTCAAATGACGAGGGGCTCCTATAATTCCTGCGCGAATACCCCCCCCCCCCGAAGCTTTGTGGACGGGAACGGCAGAGTTTCAGGCACAACACGGAGTTGGAGAACTGGAGAGAATTCCTGTTCTCCCATTAAAGAACGGCTCCCTGGATTTCCGGCACACATTACGCACGGGTAGACACTGAATAAATGTTGAGTGACGGACCCTCCCCCACCCTTTCTGGTAGGTTGGTAACCTTAGACTTCCAAGAGAAGTCATAAATGTCAGGGGGAATTTTTTCAAACTACAAATCAAAGGCACAGAGAGCAGGCTGGGCACACAGAGGTCAGTGTGGTCTGGGACTAGTTTCTGCCCAGACTGTTCAAGGTGGTGGGTGACAGGAAGCCCACGGTTTAGCCAACCATCCATGCGCAGGTCCCTGTGCACACCCACACAGCTTCAGTCTGCTCCCCAAGACTCCCTATACCCATGCTCAGAAGCCCCAAGGGACAGAAAAGCCTCCCTTCCTGCCTCCTTCTGCACCTTGCGCTCAGCGAGCTTCTGGTGGCTCCATCAGGCCTGGGGAGGCTCTGGAGGTGACTTCAGGTTTGAGGTCTCCACCTTCGCACATCCCCGAGGGTCGTGCCCGCCCTTCCCTCCTCTCCACTGGCTTTGGAGGGTCGCAGCCCTCCAGTCTGGGCCTGTGGGCCCCACCTTCTAGGGAGCCTGAGTCAGGCTGTGTGGTCTGTCAACTTCCGGCTAGTCAGGTGACAGCCAAGATTCTGCGCCTCCCTAGGGGTGGGGGTGTGCACAGCACGGAGGGGCACCTTCCCGGATGCGCCTCTCCAGCCTCCCAGCTCTCCCTCCTTTCCCAGGACCCGGAGGAGAGACTGGGAGTAGAGAGAGCGAGACAGAGAACAGCTGGAGAGGGTAAAGGGGGCTAGGGAGAAAGGAGGGATGGAGCCCAGCACGGTCCTGAGCCCTTGCCTCCCAAGCCCCCAACCCAGCCGTGGTGCCCGGCGTGAATTCCTCCCCTCTCCCCTCCCCTGAGGCCCGCAGCCCCCTCTTACCTGGGCGTTCCTGCTGAGCCACCACTGGACGCCTCCTCCACGCAGGCCTCCGGCTTCCTCCGTAGCCTGGACCCAGGCCCGCCCAGGGGCTGAGGGGACGCAGGAGGTTGCAGGTGGCCGGCCGGAGTCCAGAAGCCAGAGGAGGCCAGAGAGCCAACAGGAGAGAAAGTGTGTCATAGGCTGGGAGGGGCGGGGGAGGGAAATGCAAAAACCCGACAGGAAATGAGACTAAAAAATGCAAAAGGTTAGAAAAAGAGATAAGGAAGAGGGGGAGGGGCGGGGTTCTGGCCCAAGGCTCTGGAGGGAGGGTGAAGAGGAGGCGGGCCACCGCGGAACGGAGATCCAAAGATCAGGCGGACCTAAGCGCTCAGGTCACCTGACCCCAGGTGGGGAAGAAGCCGGACTCTCTCACACCTGCTCAGAGAACCCTCCTGGTGCAGGAGTTGCGGGGGACGGTCTTTTAGGTTCCTCAGGGCGGTTCCTTCTGCAGGAACCCCAAGGTGTTATTGCTATGGGCATAAGGGCCACCAAAGAGTGGGAACAAGGCACCGGCAGCCTGGGGTCCAGCCCTCCCTCCCCAGCTATCTTCTGCAGTAGCTTCCTGGGCTCACCGGGTGGGCAGCTCCCCTTCTGGACTTCTCACCTCCACCCTGGACACTTCGAAGTGACAAAGGCCCCTGCACCTGCCAGCCCAGTTACGCATTTTCCTGCTGGCTGGCACTATCTACTCTAGTGGGTAACTGTGGTCAGAGAGATGCTGATTTCTGGATGTTGTCATTTTCATAATTTACCCCCAAATGTTCCTGAGCAGTCCCGGAGTGCTCTGCTGTCTGACAAATTGTGTATTGAGATGTCCCCAAGATTTGTCTGACATCATTTGCTTGATGATTAGGGGTGCAGTTTGGTGGTGAGTGCTCGCCTGGCAGGATCCTGGGCTCAATCCTGGCACTGCTGAATGAACAATCTCAGTTAAGATAATCTGAGTGAAGGGGACACATCCAAGAGTCTTGGGTTCCAGTCTTCTGGCTGCCCCTCAACACCGCCCCCGTTTGTTTCCTGGTTGCAGAACTTCTAATTCTCCTCTGTCTCGGTTTACTGCTCTTTTCTCTCTCTCTTTCGGTTCAGAGAGGGGTTAAAGTACTCAGTAGCAGCTGTGCAGGAAGAAATACACGTGGGGCTGTGCCCAGGTGGGGAAGACAGCTGATTCAGGGCACTGTGCAGAGGTGGCTGCTGGGATCCTGTGGGCCAAGGGGCTGGGATAGAGGCCAGGCTGCTTTCTGCCAGTTGTGCTCAGAAGTGTAGTCAGGAACCACAGAGAAGGGATGATCCTAGAATAAACACCAGGTCCCCAGTGGCTGAGTCCTGTCCCCACTGTCCACCAGACCTCAGGGCCCTAGACAGCTTGCTCTTGGTGGAACCCTAAATCTTCCCAGAGATCTGGCTTCCCCCTTGCCAGGCCTGAAAGGAGGCAGGCCCTCATACAGCCACAACTGCTCTTTGAGACAGGCCTACTGTCAAGAGTGCAAATTCTGTACACAGCTTGACAAATTTTTGCAAAGTGAATGTGATCCACAACTACACTATATTCCATCAAAATACAAAACTTCTGTGTCTCCAGGAATCCCTCCTGTGTCCCCTTCCATCCAGTCACTCCTCTCCTAGGGTGACAGCAGTCTGGCCTCCAGCAGGCATAGATCAATTTGCTTGTTTATAAACTTTTTTTTTTTTTTGCATGTACAGAGATTGCACCCAGGACCTTTGAAGTGTGCTGTGTCCTCCACCCTTCTAAAAATATTTTAAGCCAGCTGTCATGGTGAATATGTGCAATGCCTGCACAGGAGGCAGAGGAAGGTGGATTGCTCGGGTTCAAGGCCAGTCTGGGCTATATGAGTTCAAGACCAGTCAGAACTGCATAGAGAGACCCTGATGCAAACCAACCAACCAACCAACCAACCAACCAACCAACCAACCAACCAACCAAAAATTTATTTTGACGCGGTATCTCACTAATTTGCTTAATTGCCTAGTCTGGGCTTGAATTTATAACCCTCCTTGCCTGAGCCTCCCACAGTGTTTGGGATTACAGGTGTGTGTCACCACACCCCAAGGCATGCAGTTTCCCTTAGATGTCTGTCCTTTTTCACTCAGTGTTGTATTTTCAAGATTTAACAATAGGGTCTCATGCAGGTATAGCTCACTAAGACATGCCCCCAACAAATCTTATTAAAAATTTTAAACTTTTAGAATACTTAACATAATTTTATCATGAATACCCGTATACTCCACTACTTGATTCTACAATTAACATTTTGATATCTATTCATCTACCATGTATGTTATTAACTAGAAATTTTTTTTTTAATTACAGGTAAAATTTACATAGAGATTTTTTTCCCCTTGGAACTGGGGATTGAATCTAGGGCCTTCGAATTGAGCTTTATCTCCAGCTCTTTTAAAATTTTTTATTTTGACACAGGGTTTTGCTGAGTTGCTTAGGCTGAACTTGAACTTGCCATCCTCCTGCCTCAGCCTCCCTTAGTACTGGGATTACAGTGAGCATCACAGTAAGATTAGCTTGAGTAAATATATATACCATGTCATCCAAACACTTACGAAGATAGAGCTGTGTGGTACAATATGACAGTCACTAGCAGACACTTAAGAATTGAGCACTTGACAGGTGGTTGGTATGAACAGAAGCAAATTTATCGTTCTATATAAATCTAAATAAGCTGACACAGTGATCCTTCAGTTGTCAAACTCAATTCCTTTCAGCTTCATGTGTGAACATCGAAAAGTTCAAGAACAAACACTTTTTTGTCATAAGAAATAATGGAAAACCAAATAATTGGTTTGGAGGCCCCAAATTATCCTTATAAATTCATTTTGTTCCAGAACTAACAAATTTTGTAATGATTTCTTTCTTTGACCTTATTGTGGTTCTCAGTGGACAAATTTTTGCAAAGTGAACGTGACCCACAACTGCACTATGTTCCATCAAAACATGAAACTTCTTTGTCTCCAGGAATCCCCCTTGTGTCCCCTTCTATCCCCACCCCTACCCCCTGACCAATGTTTATTGCACTAAGCCAAGCACTACATACTGGCTGGGCGAGGCTGGCACTTAGGCTGAAGGGCTGCCCCTTTTGTGTCCGTGAAACTGGACTTGTGACTCATCCCCTGCCATACAGATGTTTCAAGTTGGATTTTCTATTCAACTATCACACTAAGTTATGAAGAACAAGTAGATTTTTTTTTTTATTTTTTTGCTAGCTGAGTAATGGAAAGTTTGAGCTTAGAGCTGTTCGACAGCCAAGACATCCTTGCACTTATTTCTGTTATTAGAAAACTTTTAAACATATCTGCAGCAGTTTGAGGATGTCTGTCGACTTAAAAATTGTGTGGAATGTAAACATGGCCAAATGTTTCTGAGAAAAATTGTGTGTGTGTGTGTGTGCGTTGATGTGCCATAAGGGTTAAAGATCCCGGAGTACGAAGACTACTTAGGTATAAAGGGATGTAAACGTCTCATCAGTAAGTTTTCTATTGACTGTGTGTTGAAGCAATATTTTGGGTAAGTTGGGTTAAATAGAAATACCTTACTAAAATGAACTTCACCTGTTTCTCTTTTAGTGTTGCCACCAGGAAACTTTAAGCTACAGATTTTATTTCTCTTTTATTAGCATATGTTTGTGATCCATCCTGAATACATTCGGCTCGGGGAGTGGGCACGCATGCACAAGGCATCTTAATTCTTGTTACTTCCCCTCCCGCCCATTTTCTTCTATTCCCAGATGTCCTTCCCAGCTCCATACAGTCTATCTTCCTGTTTCCTGTCATCTGTCTTTTATCTGGCTCCTTAAATTATTTATACCTTGGGATTCTCATGGTAGAGAAGTCGTGAGATATTTAACTCTCTGGGTCTGGTTAGTTTCACTTAACATTATGGTCTCCAGGTTTATCCGTTTCCCTAAAAATGACTCAGATTTACTCTTCCTTGTGGCTGAAAAGTGCTCCTTTGTGTATAAACACTGCATTTTCTTTGACATGGAACGTGGCCATCACCCCGAAAAGTTTTCTCACTCCTGTAACCCCAGCACTTAGGAGGCAAGCGCATTGCTGTGAGCGTGAGGCCAGCCTGAGCTACATAATGAGTTCAAGATTAGCTTGGACTAAGAAGGGAGACCTAGGCTAAAAAAAGGCATCCTGGTATGGTAGGCAGCCTGTAACCCAAGTTTTCTCTCTTTCCCCATGGTGTGCCCTTTTTGTGTTCTGATTGCTCTCTGACCCCAGGGAAAAGGCTCCCAAAGTCTGCAAATGAGGGCTTCTGACGTCAGTCAGATAGTGAAGTAACCAATGTATATCTCCTTTTTGAAAAAACAGTAAGGATCAGTAGTGGGTGGGTAAGTGGCTAAAGGTAGAAGTGGGGAGCAGAGAGTTATCAGAGGTGCCACACATTTCTGGGAGGTGGGCTGGTGGACAGGAGCCTCGCAGGAGCCTGCAGTACTGGAGGTGGCTGCAAATACCAGCCCAGGTCTCCCTGGGATCCTTCCCACCCGCCAGGCTCAGCCTTGCAGGAGTGGAAGGAAGATCTACAATTGCCAAACCAGGGCAGACTCACTGTGTGGCTTTAGCTCCTGCCTCAGGCCAACAGGGGATGCTTTGCGGCTATTTCTAAGGGGCCCTCAGAGAAGCCAGGGCTCTCAGACCCCTTGCCCTCCAGCTTGGCCTCTTCGCTCAGGAGCAGTGCTGATTTTTGTTTCCTTGGGCTTCAGAAAGTAGCATTTTCTGGTCTCTCTGCGGTGACTCTCCCAACATGTCTAATCTGTTACGGATTGCTTCTTCTGTAAAATATAATAAAAATTAATTACTAGAAAATGGAATTTTAAAAAGACACTCAAGATACAAGCTGGTTGATCACGCTTGGTTATTGTGGCAATGTCAAAAGTGCTATAAAAGTTGCAAAATGCTTAGTCCCTGATTCTGTCTTTATCTTGTCTCAGCCTGGTGCACAGAAGGACACAGGCCCATGGGCCAGACTGTGCTGTGTGCCCAGCTGTCCCCAGATACCTCTGTAAGGGGGCTGGGAAAGGAAAGGAGAGCCTCACAGTGGCCCACCTGGGACTTTAAGAA